TCTAGTTCAAAGAGGAATTATTTCAGGCAAGTTCTATGACTTGGGTTAAATAGGGGCTCAGACTAGTTGATTAGAGTGATCCCTTTTGGTCTATGAAACTATGCAAAGTACTACCACATATATGCGAAAAAGCCAATAAATAACACTTGATGCAGGAACATGCCCTTGTGTTTCCTCAGGCATAATATAGGGGCTTTACTTATATGTTAATAATTATTAGATCATGGATGCATTGTCGTAAGCACTGTATAAAGGACAATTCCTCTCATAAATTGTTTACAATCTAATCTAGAGGAGAGTCACAGGAGTGAAGTGAATTGCCCCAAATCATCCAGCAAGTTAGTGGCAGGAATAGAACCCAGGTCTCTTAACACCCAGTTCAGTGCCCTATTCACTAAACCCCTCTGGTATACTCAGTTAATCATAATGCCCTCTGCTAGTCAAATGTACAATCTTCACAACTGTTCACTATGCAGACTACATGTTCATTTGAAATGAAATCTGTTATTTCTCAAATAGAATTTAGGATTTGCATCCTTTCTTCAGCTCAGTCATTAGTTAACTGAATGGAAGGCATAAGACTATGAGCAGCAATAATTAACCTCAAAGAAGAAGAGAATTAATGTGTTGCTTTTAAGCTTTACAATTAGAAGAGCTACAGTATCTCACACCAGGATGCACAAGTATTTAAACCTGAGGTTTTCTGCAGCAATCTGAAAGCAAAAAAAGAATATAAACCAAAGGAATAAAATCTGGTAGTACAGGCAGTCCCCGGGTTACATGGATCCGACTTACATCGGATCCCTACTTACAAACGGGGTGAGGCAACCCTGCACTAGCTGCTTCCCCCCAGCAGACCAGGGAGACGCGAAGCTAGCGCCCCCTCCCCCAGCAGACCAGGAAGACGCAGAGCGGCTTTTCACAGCAGACACCTCAGCTTGAGAATAAAGGACTGAGGGAAGTGAGGTGTGGGAGAATAAAACTGAGCTCTGGAGAAATGTTTGGCTAGAGTTTCCCCTACAATATGTACCAGTTCCGACTTACATACAAATTCAACTTAAGAACAAACCTACAGTCCCTATTTTGTACGTAACCCGGGGACTGCCTGTACTGTAACATGTTAGCATTCATGATCACTTCAGGAGAAAACTACCACAGTCTCTAACTTTTGGCTCTCTCATTTGTCAGAAGGGGATAAAACTAATGGAAATATATTTCATTTACATTATTACAGTACTCACTGATAATATAACTCACAAAGCTGAAGTGTGTCATCTTAAACCTTATCCTAAAACTCCTTGGTATTGCCATATAAACTGAAGAACTGTGGTGAAGTTTCTTCATCCACAATTTCCCTGAAGTTATAATAGTAAGAAAATATAACTATATAACTAACATGAACCAGTTTTAAATTCCATGATTTTTAATCTTTATCATAGTAACATAGAGTACAGTACCTCTTGAGCATCCTGACTTCATAAGTATGCTCTATAGTAAGTTTCCTGACCCATTAGTACACATTTGGAAATTAAAGAAGGAGCAAATTATATCCATTGTCACATCTGGGCAACCCCTCTGAAGTCACTAGTCTCAGTCACTAGCTATAACTGAGATTATTCTCAAGTCTTGTTTTTCATTGTCCTGATGTTGGGTTAAACACTTTTTCAGGTTGGTCTGTCACAAGGACATCTCATGCCTGCAGGGTCAAATTAGATTTCTCATTCTATAAAAGGAATGTAATGTTTGTGAAAAATGTCAGACTGATACAGGATCAACTAAGAAACCTTTTTAACATAAGTGTGAAGGAGGATATTTACATGAAGTAATACTGGACTTTGGCATAGAAGCAAACTGCACTAAGCATTACTGGGCTATAGAGGAAACTTGTATTCATTAAGTGATATCTTCAATTTAGGCATTCCATCTAAGAAACATTTGTTAAGGCTGGAAAAGGAGTGAAAGATGCACTTCCAAGACCGAGGGGAACTTCACAATGAGCTAAATCCTCAAGCTGATTAAGCGTCTTCAGTTGCAACTGAAGTTAATGGGAGTTAGGTGCTCAACACTTCCAATGAGGTAATCCACATCTTACAGGATGGGTAAAGGTACTTTATGGGCTAAATTTTATCCTCAGCTACACCTGTGCTACCACACTGAAATTTATGGGATAGCCACAGTGTCAGTGGGGTCAGAGTTCAGCTCTAATTATCTAGAGATGAAAGAAAATTTCCATGCTAGTATTATAAAATGCTTTGCTAGTGATCCACAGTGCAACAGAAGCATAGGTTTTGGAAGAAGCTGCTTTCCCATCTCACTAGGAGGGAGAGATTGCAAGAAAATGAGCTGTAAAGTAGAGGAAGAACTGATTTTTTTTTAAAAGGATAAGATGGAAAACTTCCAGAAAGGTAACAAAATAAAGTGCACGCTTCAATCAAATGTCCTGTAAAACAAACATTGGAAATGAACCTGCAAGTCTTACTTTTGGAATAAGTCCATTGAAAAAATAAAAATATACTCAGGTGGCAAGCCTTATGCAATGAATGAACTGCCCTCTCTAAAAATGCTGAAGAGAAAAGCAGTCAATGTTTATTTAACAAAGTGATTGGAATAAAACATCAGCTCAAAGGGTACAGCAACATTCAAGTATCATGAGAGCAGAACTGAAAACACGAAGCTCTCTTACCTGTATCTCTGCTTCAGAGACTGTTTTTCAGCTGACTTGAAAACATGTCCAATATAATACAAAGGAAAGAATAAAAAGTTCCAGTTTGTTGCAAACCACGTCAGAGTGAAGGGCGCATCGAATCTCTTGAAGGTCAGTTTTGCAAGCTGGGTTGAACCTGACCAGGAGGAGCAGACACCCAGGACCACTGCCACGCCCCACAAAAATTTCTTGAGTTGGGTCACTGAGCATTTCCAACAGCAGCGATTGCCCCTTCCACTGCCTTCCACCCCAGCCTGCATCTGTGCTTCTGCTGGGGCTGGAGATTCCCGGGAGCGCTCATCCCCTGAAGAGATGAACACACAAGAATTAATAAAGAATTCTACACGATATTTTCCTCTCCAAGAACCAAATCTTGGGCCCATTTGAAGTCAAAAGGAGTTTTACCATCGATTTCAATTAAATAAGGATCTTGACACAGAAATTTAGTTTGTTTCGTATACACTAAAGCACCTAACACGTTCTGGGGACAACTGCAGTCTAATAATAATTATCATCTCTATGATTGGAAGCAACTGGGCAAAATGGAAAGTCCAATTACATGCTGTTCTGCAGTCACTATGTCAGCAGCGTTATCGGTAATTTTGTAAATCTTTTACAAACATGCAAATGAATGAATGCTGTTTAGCTTTATGAAAGAGCAATGAGAATAACAGCAACACTCACAATCAGTACTGTCTTGGGAGTCTTAGAACTACATAATTTTATGCAACATGGTGGTTCTTATTAAAGAGGGAACAGAAAAAAATTTGTTCTTTCAATTACACTAGCATTACTCTGGAGTACAGGCAATGGGCTAGTGTAGTTGGGGGCATGGTTGGAGCACAGCTGAATGCCTGTAAACCCTAGCTTCCCCTTTGTGAGGTTGTTAGTATCTGGTGACATTTAGAGCAGCCTCTGTGTTTTTTTTTTAAATTGAACTAAGGACTAAGCCAATTTAGCCTTCACCTCCTTGAGTGCTGTACCAACCAGGGTTCAGACTGACCTGACAAATAAGCCCAGTGACTTCAAATTTACACCAAAGTAACTGCGACCAAAATTTAGCTCTGGGAGACAAATTTTCAAACATTTGAGATCTTAATGGAATTGGGTCATTTGGCACCTGTGTGCCCATCTGAGTGATCAAATATATCATTACAATATAGAAATTACATGACTAAATTTGAAAACCTGGCCAATGCTTTCAATAACCTTTCACTCACTATATTAGACTTGGCTGCCTGGATGGAAGCCAAAGGTTGGATTGCTTAAAGGGGACTGTAGTGTGGCTTCTTGGTACCCAGTGTGACATTACAGAAGCTATTTGGTTACTGACTTGGTTAATCTAATTAATTATAGAATAAACCACCAGTTCCAAGAATTGTTTGCCCTGTTCCTTGACGTTTGCCCCGAGTAAGCATCCAAGCACCACATTCACACCAACAGATGTTGTACTTTTATCTTCTGAACTAAAGATCAATCCTATATGCTGATGAATGCCTTCAATTCCTATTAAAATCAGTGGGTATTGATGGTCGTCAGCAGAAACATTTGTTAAGGCTGGAAAAGGAGTGAAAGATGCACTTCCAAGACCGAGGGGAACTTCACAATGAGCTAAATCCTCAAGCTGATTAAGCGTCTTCAGTTGCAACTGAAGTTAATGGGAGTTAGGTGCTCAACACTTCCAATGAGGTAATCCACATCTTACAGGATGGGTAAAGGTACTTTATGGGCTAAATTTTATCCTCAGCTACACCTGTGCTACCACACTGAAATTTATGGGATAGCCACAGTGTCAGTGGGGTCAGAGTTCAGCTCTAATTATCTAGAGATGAAAGAAAATTTCCATGCTAGTATTATAAAATGCTTTGCTAGTGATCCACAGTGCAACAGAAGCATAGGTTTTGGAAGAAGCTGCTTTCCCATCTCACTAGGAGGGAGAGATTGCAAGAAAATGAGCTGTAAAGTAGAGGAAGAACTGATTTTTTTTTAAAAGGATAAGATGGAAAACTTCCAGAAAGGTAACAAAATAAAGTGCACGCTTCAATCAAATGTCCTGTAAAACAAACATTGGAAATGAACCTGCAAGTCTTACTTTTGGAATAAGTCCATTGAAAAAATAAAAATATACTCAGGTGGCAAGCCTTATGCAATGAATGAACTGCCCTCTCTAAAAATGCTGAAGAGAAAAGCAGTCAATGTTTATTTAACAAAGTGATTGGAATAAAACATCAGCTCAAAGGGTACAGCAACATTCAAGTATCATGAGAGCAGAACTGAAAACACGAAGCTCTCTTACCTGTATCTCTGCTTCAGAGACTGTTTTTCAGCTGACTTGAAAACATGTCCAATATAATACAAAGGAAAGAATAAAAAGTTCCAGTTTGTTGCAAACCACGTCAGAGTGAAGGGCGCATCGAATCTCTTGAAGGTCAGTTTTGCAAGCTGGGTTGAACCTGACCAGGAGGAGCAGACACCCAGGACCACTGCCACGCCCCACAAAAATTTCTTGAGTTGGGTCACTGAGCATTTCCAACAGCAGCGATTGCCCCTTCCACTGCCTTCCACCCCAGCCTGCATCTGTGCTTCTGCTGGGGCTGGAGATTCCCGGGAGCGCTCATCCCCTGAAGAGATGAACACACAAGAATTAATAAAGAATTCTACACGATATTTTCCTCTCCAAGAACCAAATCTTGGGCCCATTTGAAGTCAAAAGGAGTTTTACCATCGATTTCAATTAAATAAGGATCTTGACACAGAAATTTAGTTTGTTTCGTATACACTAAAGCACCTAACACGTTCTGGGGACAACTGCAGTCTAATAATAATTATCATCTCTATGATTGGAAGCAACTGGGCAAAATGGAAAGTCCAATTACATGCTGTTCTGCAGTCACTATGTCAGCAGCGTTATCGGTAATTTTGTAAATCTTTTACAAACATGCAAATGAATGAATGCTGTTTAGCTTTATGAAAGAGCAATGAGAATAACAGCAACACTCACAATCAGTACTGTCTTGGGAGTCTTAGAACTACATAATTTTATGCAACATGGTGGTTCTTATTAAAGAGGGAACAGAAAAAAATTTGTTCTTTCAATTACACTAGCATTACTCTGGAGTACAGGCAATGGGCTAGTGTAGTTGGGGGCATGGTTGGAGCACAGCTGAATGCCTGTAAACCCTAGCTTCCCCTTTGTGAGGTTGTTAGTATCTGGTGACATTTAGAGCAGCCTCTGTGTTTTTTTTTTAAATTGAACTAAGGACTAAGCCAATTTAGCCTTCACCTCCTTGAGTGCTGTACCAACCAGGGTTCAGACTGACCTGACAAATAAGCCCAGTGACTTCAAATTTACACCAAAGTAACTGCGACCAAAATTTAGCTCTGGGAGACAAATTTTCAAACATTTGAGATCTTAATGGAATTGGGTCATTTGGCACCTGTGTGCCCATCTGAGTGATCAAATATATCATTACAATATAGAAATTACATGACTAAATTTGAAAACCTGGCCAATGCTTTCAATAACCTTTCACTCACTATATTAGACTTGGCTGCCTGGATGGAAGCCAAAGGTTGGATTGCTTAAAGGGGACTGTAGTGTGGCTTCTTGGTACCCAGTGTGACATTACAGAAGCTATTTGGTTACTGACTTGGTTAATCTAATTAATTATAGAATAAACCACCAGTTCCAAGAATTGTTTGCCCTGTTCCTTGACGTTTGCCCTGAGTAAGCATCCAAGCACCACATTCACACCAACAGATGTTGTACTTTTATCTTCTGAACTAAAGATCAATCCTATATGCTGATGAATGCCTTCAATTCCTATTAACAGCAGTGGGTATTGATGGTCGTTAGCGTATTTCAGGAAATGCTCTGCTCCCTGAAGGACCAGGCCCCTAATGACCTTTCTGCTCTCTGTCTAAAGTCATCCAATCTCTGTTTAAGAAACTGTTCACCTGCACGTGATACTGCTATGCAGTATTTTCATTTTAAAAGCTGATCTCCTTAAGTCCATTCATTTTGAACACAGATAAAGTGCTAATTCATGTTGAGAAGTGGAATCTAGAAAGCTTTTTTCACAGGTCCTTTAATACACTGAAAAGTAGAAACAGAAGTTTTTCACAATGCTGCACTGCATCTGCAGGCTAGAATTAGCATCAAGAGCAATGGGTATGTATCACTATGCAATTTAATGCCAGGTTTATGGGACATTCATACACAAATCTTTTTTACTGAAGAGATGATGCAATCTGTATGTCTCTTTAAAACTTTATACTATGTTGACTTGGTGTTTAATGATATAAGCTAATATATGTGCAAGCCAACATGCATGTTGACCAAAGGTTTCCTCCAATACTAGTACATTCTGTGTTACTACTTAACTAAAAAAAAAAAAAAAGACCAAATACCTGATATGAGGTAACAGTAATATCATCTAATAACACTGTGATGACAGAGAAAAAAAACACCCTCCCTTTCTGACCCCTGATTAAGCACAATGGTGTGTTTTGAAAACTTTGTGCATCACTTGCACATCGAGGGTGTGTCCACACTGCACTCGAGCTCGAAGTAAGATACGCAATTTGAGCTACGCAAATTGTGTATCTTATCTCAATGCTATTTTGAAATAGCTTATTCATCATTTGGCGCTGTCTACACAGTGCCAGATTTCAAAACAAAGCACTATTCTGAAACGTCCCTTACTCCTTGTAGAATGAGGTTTACAGGGATGCCAAAATAGTGAGCCCGAAATAACGGGCTTGCTGTGAAGATGCAGAATAGATATTTCGGGATACTCTGGTATCCCGAAATAGCATTGCAGTGTAGATGTAGCCCAAGATACCAAAAAATGAAGCCCTACACGTGTGTACAGGAACAAGGATATATAACTATTTATATATTTTAAACAGTTTAAAATATTCACACAGAGGTAAGGAAGAGGGAATGTTGATCTCTTAATCATCTACATTCATTTTTCAGTGGAAAGCCACGTGAACATCTTTCCATGCACATTTACAATGCACTAAAGGGTCAACTTATTATCCAGATATAACATTACATTAAAAACACGTTCAGACTGCAGAATCAATCACTCAAAGTTTGGATATTCCAGAATTGAGACAGATAGACTTGTCCGTTAAACCTTAATTCATATTCTTTTATGTGAAATCTATTATTACATGATCACATGTAATTAAATCCCCCTGCCACATTCAATGCATACACTGGACTGCATTCAGTGACTGAGACAACTGCATGTGATGTTTAGCTTTATGAAAGAGCAATGTTCAATTTTTGTTCTTTTTAATCATTCAGTGTGTAATTCCCACACTTCTCTGTTATACTCCATGGAACCCTTGCAATGAATAAAGAATTATTAATTTCCTCATGGTCTTCTTTATAGCATGTGCTGCTATTGCACTGAGTGATTCACAAATGTCAATTAATTTATTGTCATTACATCCCAACTCATATTCCTTATCTGAGGTGAAATAAGGTGCACAAGAACTCTGTACAGGGACTTACATGCTAGGTTCTGCTACATATACGCAGTCACATTTTCTTGCAGACCATATCTATTTTGTCTTTGACTGAGTCTCTCTTATGCCTCATGCCACATCACATGCATTAGCACTAAGAAATTATCTTTCCCTCCCAGACTTTTCAGCACTGGAATCTGCAGTAGAATTATTTTGCCAAGTAGGGGAGGATGTGTGGGGTGTTTCTGTTGCTTTTTTCTGAATTTGCATGTACACATAGATGGTCTATAGACATACCAGAACTAGCTTTGATTTAGCTAACGTGATAACATCGAGTCAAGGAATGACAGCAGGGTACATACCCAGGGTCCTGGGCAGGGCTATTCAACTCATGCTGCCATGGCTTCAGTACTACAGTTATTTGAGTTAACTACCTGAAAGCTAGCCTGGGTCCATCTACACATGCTGCAGTCACACTTTTAATTGCAGTGCAGACATTCCTTTAAGCCCAAGTGCTCAGTGTCATTCTGTGGCTTGTGTCAGATCCAAACACAGTACAAACTATGTGAGCTAGAAAGCAGAAAACAAACACAGGGGACCTTTTCAGATCATGGGGGTGTGGCCAGAGTGCAAGCACAGCACAGATCCCCAACTCCGGGAGGGTGGCCAGGTATCTGGTTTTCTATTGGAAAATCTGGTCAAAAAGGGAACCCTGATGGTGTCTGGTCAAATGTATTGACTCGACACTCAAAGCCCAGTTACTATGGGTGAGAGGCAGTGTTCTCTGTAAGCAGAATGCTTGTGCAGCCACCCAGGAGAGATTCAGGCGCTACTCCACTGATTAGCAGAGCACCCACTACTGTGTTTCTACTGGTGGTGCACATCTGCACATACCCTCAGTGCACATAAAATATATTCCACACAACTCAGTGGAAATTATATGGAAAAATTAGAGGGGACATCAGTGAGGGGGGCTATGCACCCATCCATGCCAGGGCCTATGCACCCAGTACTGCCTCCTACCTGCATTGGGCAGCTGCAGCTCCCAGTCCTGGCTCTGCAGGTGAGTCCCTCCTAAGCAATGGTAGAAGGGGGAAAGAAGAGCAAATGGGGAGGGAGCTCAAGGGAAGAGGTGGGGCAGGTGCGAGGCCAACCTTGAAAAGCAAAACTCCACATGGTGAAAGGAGAGAAGGTTATAGTGGTCAGTGTCTGCTTCTCTCCCAATACCCTGCAGAGGTGGCTGTAGCTAGCTTTGAATGGAGGGGTTGGAAGGGAGTGGATTGGGTGCTTTTCATGAGAAGAAAGGGGAGCTATTGAGACTGAGCTTGGGGGTGCTGCTGGATCTAGGCTGGGTAGAGAGAGTGTGGCAGTTTGTGTCTCTCTTTCTGGCTCTTGGAAATAGTTCCTGCCTGACCCCAACATCCCAGTTACTACCTGCTCCCTGGGCTGAACCTGGGTGCTGCAGAGGCTGCTCCAGCGACAGCAGGTCTTGCTCTCGCATACGTGCATGCAATTTCCAGGGAACAGTGGTTCCCAGAGTGCATAGAGGAATGTTGCTCAAGGACATAACATAGGTCAACACCACATAGCTCCTGCCCCCATTTCTGCCACCCCTGCCAGGTATCGAATGTTGGGTTAATTGTCCAGAGTCAACTGCCCATTTAGATGCCTCATATGGAAATATCAGCCTCTTTAAGATACATTCCATGACAATTACATCCTATGAAAGATACCAAAATGTTGCAGGTTACAAATAATTTCATAGGCAAAATGACTCATCCATATGCACCTAGATCTTTGTGTTAAATACACCAGTAGAGGTGTTCACACTGCACAAATGCAGTGAAAGACAATACTTTATGTATCACTTTACTTTGAAAATGATCTCATAGATCAAGGTTTGAATTTCTAAAGATGCTCATCTTTTGGATCATCTAATTTGCATGCTGGATGGAGTAAAATGTATGCCAGTCAAAATGAGCTACATAATGCTGGAGAAAAACAGTCCTCTCTTCAAAAAACAAACAAAAAACCAAAAAAACCCCCCACCATATTGCATAAGAGTTCTACACCGTGGTTTCTTTTAATTTGGTTGTAAAAAAACTGCACCATCCATCTTTGATTTCCTATATGCATAGAG